GACCCCTCCTTGTGTTTCCGAGGTAGTATCACTATGGAAGTAGATTGCCCCATCTTCCTTCCGAGGAGTGGCTGGTGGGTTTGAACTGCCAGCCTTTCGGTTAGCAGTCAAGTGCCTTAGGCACTACGCTACCAGAGCTCCAGGACATCTGTCCTACAACCACTTAATAAATGCCAGTATTCTCTTTACATAATATAGAAGCTTAAGTAGATAAAAGTAGTTTTATTATGCACACACCACCTCCCTTTTCCTCACTACATGTTCCTTCAGGGTCCAAATAACACTAATTTCCTCATTAAAATGCTGTAAAATGCATAGGAGTGAGCAGTACACTAAAAAATACAAATAAAACTATCATATATTCATTTCTGAATATTTTAATTAGCAATACTACTGTTCCTCAGATGCCCTGAGAAAAAAACATTTTATTGTACATTTATTCAACACACAGCCATCATGAAAAATAATAGTGGACAGTGAAGATAATGATGGGCTATGCACCAATGAGGTGGGCTCCCCAATTTCAATGGGAATATAGCATTCCAGAGTGGCAAAGGCCAGGCAGTAACACCTAATCATTAGAGACAAGGTAGTTACTGTGATGGGCAGCAGGAATACAGCAATAATCACAGCATATTAATTTCTAGGTATTTGTGATTTTAAATGATAGGCAGCCTTCTAAAGCATCACAGTCCAAAAGAAATACAATGCAAGTCTCATATGTAATCATAAATTTTCTAGTAGCAATAGGAATTTTTTCACTTGGACCCACAAGCAACACCTTTAGGACAGTAGTCAAAAAAATCAAACAATATTGTATTGGACAAATTTGCTGCAAAAACACCTCTTTAAAGTGTTAAAGAACAAAAATGTCACCTTAAGGACAAAGGTGCCCCTAACCCAAGCCATGGGATTTTCAATCACATATGCATGCAAAAGCTAGACAATGAGTAAGGAAGACTGAAGAAGAATTGGTGCAGTTGAAAGTGTGGTGTTGGCAAAGAATACTGAACAAAGAAGAATGAACAAACGTGTCTTGGAAAAAGTGCAATCAGAATGCTCCTAAAAAGCAAGGATAGTGAGACTTTATCTTGCTTACTTTGGACATGTTATCAGGAGAGACCAGTCCCCATAGAAAAATATCATGCTTAGTACAGTAGAAGGACAGAGAAAAAGAGGAAGAGCCTCAATGAGATGGACTGACACAAGGGCTGCAACAGTGGGTTCAAACACAGAAATGATTGTGAGGATGGTACAGGACTGGGCAGTGTTTCACTCTGTTGTACATGGGATTACCAGGAGTCAGAACCAACTCAATGGTTCCTAACAACAATTATTTTCAAAGGTAATTGAGACTCAGAAAGATTAGTATCCTGCCCAAGAACCCACAACAATAAAATTCCCAGAGAAGTCATTTTGAAGATATTTTGTGCCTATCACCCAGCATGATGTAAATGAGCATTAGGTTTATCTGATAAGGCAGATAGATATACAGCCTTAGTTATTTTTAGATCATTTCATCTCTCTCTGCCTTGCTTTGTGAGGAACATATCTGAAGATTACATAGCTAAAAAAAATTACTATGTAAGTAAAATCACCAAAACAAATAATTACGACAGTAAGTATGATTAAGTAATATAAACCTAAACCTAGAGTTGAACCATAATTGCCTATTCAGAGAAAAGAGTTTTTCTTCCCTGAGATAATTTCCTATCTGTTTAATGTGAATATACTTCAAAACATTTTGATCACATAAAAGAAAATAGTGTGTTCTGCTAAGAGAAATCTAATCACAATTGCAAATATATTATGAGAGAATACATTTAATAGAAGAATTATTAACATGACACTATACTCTCAAGTGAAATATACATTTGGTTTTAAGAAATGAGTTTAAAGTTTATGAACAATAAGTATACATTTAACAAATAACACTTTATAGTTAGTATGTATTATTACAATAAAAATAAAAGCATTTCAATTACAGCTAAAAATTAACAAAATATACTAAAATATACAAATAAAACTATCATATATTCATTAGTCATTTTAATCAGCAATATCACTGCTGCTTAAATACCCTGAAAATATCATTTTACCACACATTCATTCAATACACAGCGGCTGATGGCCTACTATGTGCCAAAAACAATGTGAGATACATAGACAAACACCAAGCACGGGCACTGCTCTCAGTTCTCAGGGAACTTACCGGCTAAAGATGATGAGCAGGTAAGCATGAAATAAGTATTTTAGTCAAAAATAGCTATAATAAAAAAAGTATTATGAAAGAGCAAAGAAAGGAGTATTTAATGAGACTTTAAAAGGTTTGCCAAAAGGACAGCACCAAAACTTAGCAAGAGGGAATGAAAATACATTGCTTACACTTAACTCTCAATACATTATACCTGTTATTATAGTATAGAGGCATCTCACAAACTTTATTTAACTTAATCATCACAACACTCCTTCGGGATCAGCATTGCACAATGAGAAGCCAACAATTTATAGGATAAATAACTAGCCCAAGATTACATATCTTGTAAATGGAAGGGCCAGAATTGAGTCCAGGTCTGGGGAACTCCACTCTACCTGCCTGCGTAAGCTGAGCTTAAGAATAAGCTTTAAGTAAAGAAAATGGAGAAAGAATCTAACACAAAAAATAGGCATAAACATATAATTAATTCACAACATATCATAGGAAAAAAAGATAACTCCTATACTTGGAATATATGGAAAAACTGCATTAACACACACACTAGTTTAAAAATACATATATAATGACATAAGAAAACAAAGAGAAAATTAAGATAATTTATGAATTGCACTATGACTAAAAGTTCCAAATTCAAATTACTTATTTAAAAAGAGATAATTCCACGATTGAGGCTACAAAGGAAACTATGCTATTAATTTCAAAACTGTATAATTTGCAAATCCTTTAGTCACCAAGGTCCTGTGGTTAAAACACTGAGCTGCTAACCAAAAAGTCAGTGGTTCAAACCCACAAGCCACTCCATGGGAGAAAGATGAAACAATCTGCTTCTGTAAAGATTTACAGCCATGGAAAACCTATGGGGCAGTTCTACTCTGTCCTGTAGGGTCACTGAGTCAGAATCAACTTGATGGCAGTAGGTGAGTTCTAGTCATCAAACACATTCATCAATATTTATGACAAAGTTGGACCCAAAATTAAAAGAAATCTAAGACAGCATATAAATAAACTTTGTTGTTGTTGTTATGTGCCGTTGAGTCCGCCCCAACTCATAGCGACCCCTCCTTGGCTTTCCGAGGCAGTATCACTACAGAAGTAGGATTGCCCAACCTAGAGGTTCATTAAATTTGTACTTTACTACTCCTACACATATTCCAAGGAGCTCTGGTGGAGTAGTGCTGCAGTGTAGTAAATTACTTAGTATGGCTTTTCTACCCATAAGTCATTGTAAACTCAGTGGTGGAATGAGCAACTGAGGAGCTGATTGTAAATGTTATCCAAGTGGAGTATTTCTGTTGGGCGTGGCACAATATAATGTTCTGGGAGGTGCCCACTCTC